TTCTTTAATTAAAACTTCTTTAATTGATTTGGTGATCAAAAGTCTTATTTTTTGGTGATCATTTCACTGCTAATAAATTTGGTGATCAAAAGTCACTTTTTTGGTGATCAAAACACATTTATTCCTTGTTATTATATCTTTTATATTCTTTTTTTATTTATAGATTGTCAGTGAATATGAAGAAATCACAAAGAAATCATTAGAAGAATTATTAGAATCATATCGTCAACGACTGGATGCTTTAATACAATTTTACCAATTACGTCAAACAAAATCAACAACAGTGAGTCTTACACTGTAAAGGAGAAACTTATTTATAGAAAATCCTCGATTTTCCAGTGTTATAGAAATTCGTTTATATGGAAATTGTCTCAAATTTAGTAAATTTGTATCTAACAAACGTTTTTATAATTCCTCAGTATTATATACAAATTATCAGTAAACAGATCAAACTAAGAGTACAAACTTTTTGGCAAACCAATTTCATTAGATGAAATTTCAAATTTAAACAAGAATTTAACAACATTTCATTTTCTGTTGCGGACTCTTAATCTTTCCTGGTTCTGGTGTGACATCGCAGTTCTTGAGAGTCCCAGGATCAATAATTTCACATTTGAAACGTTTTTGAAAACCAAATGTTCCCACAAGATTCAGCGTGATTGATTATCTAGGTTTCCATTCATTTTTGGAATTATCACACGTCGAGAAATATTGATCGTGGGACTTGGTTTCCATTAAAGACAGACTACCCAGGTCGACCAAAACGGATATCCGTTACGGACCGTCTACTGGACGCAGGAATACGGACCGTAACATCATTAAAATAGAGCCGTATACGACCGTATTACTGTACCCAGAAACGGTACCGTTTACGGAGCCGTATATTGTGAAAATACGGCCGTATACGATAACATATACGAGGATGTTACGGTCCGTATTCCTGCGTCCACTAGACGGTCCGTATATGGACCGTATCCTTCGACTTGGGTAGTTTTCTATGAAAAAAAACTGATAGATTGCTATCTCAGTATTCGGAGATCCGAACCGGTTTTCTAGAGACCTCTTTGAAAACCCATCTTTCGAATATTTTTCGAAAAGGATTTTGCTTATGAAAACATTGGTAAAACTGTCTTCTTTCGATTGCTGAAAATCCCAAATCTCTATCTTTTGTCGTCTTTGAGTTATACGAAAAACAATTACCGACCTTATATTTTGCCGCCGATAATACCTAATGGCTTTTTTCTGACACAAACAAGCACTTTTCCGCAACATATGCTTGCGCATGTGCCAGATGAGACTGATACATGTATATATGAACTTTCTGAGTTTTGCCGTTTCATTTGAGATACCACAAGATTATATTTTGCAATGTTCGTTTTTCGTCGTTTTTGGGATCCTTTCAGCCTCTCCCGGTAACCCATCTATGAACATGCTCCAAAACAGAGGTTAGCGCCAGATAGTCCAAGTGGTGTAGTTTACGGCTGACTATGTTGATTTATATAACAAGTGCCTTCGGACATAAAAATTTAATTTTTAAAATGCTCCATTTTCACTTTCTCTGAACTTTGTGATGGCCTACACCCCTAGTGAACTACGTTTCTCAGACCAAAGCTATAAATTTGAGTAGATCAACACGTCATCTGTGCAGTGAAACTCGTGTTTAGTCAAATACTTTTACTTTTCATAGAAGAATTTAGCCAGAAAGTACGACCATTATTAATGTTTTCCAATTTTGCAGGTATGATTTTCCTTTTCTTTGTCTATCCTCTTTCATGTCTAAATCTATCTTTCAGTTGTGACATCGCTTTTTCTATTTCTCTATTGGTCGATTTTGATGACCAAGAGAAACAGCCGGCACAATCAGACACAGACATTATTTTTTTCTAAGAACCCTTCCTTCCAGTAAGGGAATTAACAGCTTTCCTTGTATTATTCTCTCGTCTCCAAGTTCCACTTAACAGTATTAACAATAGAGAAATAGAGTGTGAAAAAGATTGGTTTTTTGCTTACAATTTCATTGAGGTCTTTACAGATATTTTCTGTTGGTAAAATTACAAACTTTTATTCTGAACTTGTCTACCTTCAGTCTTGATTGTGGACACTTGATATGCATTAATGTCTCAGATTATTTTTCTTCACTGATCACGATCTTCAAAAGGAGATGCTACTTTTATTTAGGCTTGAGAAACACCCAATTTAGACGGTTTTTACTACTGAAATTTTTTCTAATTCAGATCAAACTGGTGATCCAAACTGGTTCGAGATATGGGATTTGACACTGTGTATGAATTCCTTCAAGACGATCTAATTAAATCGGGCTTTGAAGTTTATCCTTTTTTGGTATGCAATTGATGTCTTTTGTATCTTGTATTTCCTTTAACAGCAATAATTTTTATTTAGATTTCATGGTATAATGCTGTTGTTGAACCATCGTTTAAACTCAAATATGACGATTCGACAGTTGCTTTTTTGATCATAAGTACACCCCATATGTTTGAGAAAACATTTTTACCTTATGCTGTCACTCATAAAGGAACAAATGATCCAGTTGACTCGTGTATCAAATTGCGTATTGAACCATTAATCAAAGTAAGAATTTATTGTATGTTTAAGCATCTGTTGTCTAGTAGATGCTGCTAATTTAGAAATTCTCTGATCATGATATTGACCTTATTTACGATTATGAACTATGGCCAAATCGTCGTCCTAAAATTATTATGCAGACCGTTGGCCATATTACGGGTGCGGCACATTTTTACAGTCGTCATCAACTTACCAATGATCCATTTCCAAAGGAAAAGGTTTGTTATTTTTTACGTATATATGACACGTACAGATATAACTTTTTGTTTTATTTTAGAATATGTTGGGTGTTTGTATTCATCCAAAATATGGTGGTTGGTTTGCATTACGTGCCGTGCTTGTATTTAAAACACTAACATATCCATTATTAAAACAACAGGCACCCATTGATCATTTAAAGGAAAATGAAACATTAATTGTAGATTTATTAAGACGTTTTAATGATTGTTGGCAGGACAATACCTATCGTGATATAATACCTGTCATTGGAAAATATTCTTTACTTCAACAATCTTATTTTAAAACACTACCAAAACAAAGACTTTTGTGGCTAGAAAAGCTCCTTCAAAATGAATCTATAAATGAATCCAACGAAAATCTATAGAAGTTATTTTTTTCTACACAAGGTTTTTGTTTTTGCACATGCAGCAAATGTTTGGTGTAACACTGAATTAGAGATTATACTTTTTTTGTGTTTACTATGTGATAACTTTTTTGTTATTCAGAAACGGTTATAGAATTTTCTATGAAAATTTCAAAAATATTTTGTTGCATTATATTCAGTCTTTTTTTATTGTTTTCTTTTCTGGAATCATTCTTTTATAAACTCCTTTTGATTGACCATTACACAACATCAGAAAGGTTTCTTGCCAAAATATGTAACTGTCTCTTGTTTTAGAAGTTCAAGTGAATTTCTATTTCGTTACGTTATTCTATTCATGTGTACGTAGCGATAGTATAAAAATATATTCATCAATACCGGTAAGATTTTTGAAATTAAACGAACAATTCTATCATATAACTCTTGGAATTTTTTTAGTCTCATACAATCGCTCAAATATACGGCTTGTCCAAGCGTGACGCTGTGACATTTTTGACGCAGTAATTTGAGCTTTTCTCAAAAAGTGTAAGAGCTGGAAACTTCGTTCTTGCGCCATTCGACGCAGCTCGCCATACTCTACTTTTGATATAAAAATGAAGGTATGTGGTTAAAGACTCGAATTCTTAGAACCATTTTTCGGCGCGTGACGCTGTGACAAAAAA